AATGGCTCTGGGCCAGGCCTGCCTAGGCTGTGATATAAGAGGATTTGTGGTTTTGACCACATGACCTGGCTGGCCCTATGGCATTTGAAGTCTCTATCACAAGAAAAGATTCTACATGGAATGTATGATAACCTCATCAGAATCCAATGTACACCCTTACGGGTCTGGGGAGAGACCATGTGACTATGTGAGATCTGCAGTGAGAATGATAATCCACTTGAAAACCAGCGGTTGGTATGTTACTAGGCTCTGCTAGAGGTCAAGCCCCTGACCGCAGTACTTAGAGTACCATGTAACTAGAATTGCTTACTGTGAATTGGATTCAAATTCACCAAGTCACAAGGTCAAAGAGCCCCAAACATAACCCACAGTGAGATGGAGGTATACATCTGATTAGTTATAAGCAGAGACAAAGGACACCAGCCATCCTCTGTCACTGGCTACTCCAATTCTAGCACAATTAGGTATGACCAGGGTAGCCCTGGGGACAAATGTGGAGACCCTCTGTGGGTTCAAAGCACAGACTCATGCTCCCCAATGCTGACATAGCAGCTGCTGCCAAATGTCCAAGTGGTCAGCCCCAGACACAAAGCCTGAGCCCCAGTTTTGTACTGTCTTCATGGAGAGTGATTAATCGTTTAGTGGTAAGTTGGCTACAGTATTCCCCTAACAAGAGACAGTGACACATCATGGCTAGAATTGACACATTCTGGGTATAGATTAACCTTTTCTTCCTTAGCCCAGATCAATATCAGAGGGCTAACATGGTGTGTGGTCCCCTGACATTGCATTCCCACATAACTGCACCACATCAAGAACACTGCATCACATCAAAGGGGGGGGCAGCACATGACCACAGGATCTACTGACTCTATTCATAGCCAGAGGCTAGAGGTCTGTTAGAAAGGCCTTGTGGAGATGAAGCCCGGAATTCAGCATGGGGACAGTACTCTGTGAGGATGAGTGATAATTCTCTAGGACCAAGTATATGCTAAAAATCAATAGATTCTTGGATACAGGAACCAAGAAGTAGAAGGAGTGGCCTCCCTTATCATTAATCATCCCTGTAACGCTAGACTCTGCAGACACAGAGGGCCTCATGCCCAGAGAGGGAATAACTCAGGCAGAGGTCACAGTAAGAGATCTATTAATTCAAGCAATGGCTTCTGCTCAGGCATTTCAGTCTCTTTATGCCATAAGTCCTTCAGGCATAAGAAAGAGTGATTATCCTGGCAGGAGAGTTGAACCTTATTCTCAGGAGAGGGGTGCCTGTGCACAGTAAGGCCAGGCAGGTACTAAGCAATCTACTGGGTGGTCTCGGTTATTCTCTTGAGCAGTATTAAAAGTAAATGGACAAATGCAGCAGCCATCACCTAAGAAGAGCATTGTGGCAAGGCGTGTACCCTTCTCAGAAATGAAGGCCACTTTAGCATATCCGTACCTATATCTGCAGAGGTGTCAACTGATGGCAGAGGGACCCAAGAATTGGTAGCAGAGGAGAGGACGATGACTTAGATCAGCTGCAGAATTTGTGGTTCATCCCATTAACCTTCCTCTTAGAACACACTAGGAAAGGAGATTGCTGTGGTCTGAGTGTCTGTCAAAACTTGTGTTGGAACCAAAATTTCCAATGCAGTGGGGCTGGCAAGTGCTGCTTTCAAGAGGTGATCAGGTCCTTAGGACGGGTTACTCTCTCTTGAGGCTGAGTTAGTCCTTGCAGGAATGGATGCATTCCTGTGGGAGTGGGCTGTTAGGGTGTGAGGCTGCCGCTCGCATGTGGTCCTCCTGGCACACACCCACCTCCTTTCTGCCTCTCCCCCATGTTCAGATGCAGCACGAGGTGCTCCCCAGGCAGATGCCAGTGCTGTGATCTTGGACTATCCAGTCAACGGAGGCTAATTACCCTCTCTTTATAAATGGCATGGCCACAGGTCTTCTGTCACAGCAGTGCTAAATGGACTAGGAGATAGAGAGTAAGCAAAGTCTTACAGAAGTGGAACCCCAAACCTGCTCTATGGAAGTAATGGGCACACAGCAGAAGGGGCAACGTAACAGCACTGTGGTGGGCTACTCACATCTGCATGCATCAGGTGGGAGCCTCCTCCAAGGTCATCCTCCCTCCCTGGGGAGCAGCTCTGACTCCTGACTGACCAGTGGGTGGTGGAGTGATAAAGACCCGCTCCCTTTACCTCAGGGCAGGACTTGGTAAAAAGGTGTGTAGAAGTTTTCTGGAATTTGCTTTAACATAACGTAAATAGAGGGGCTCGGAGAGAGAGTGAAGGTGGGTATATGTGAATATGTGTTGCCATGATCATTGTGCAGTCGAGTGATGGTATAGAGGTTCATTTATATTTTCTCTACCTTGTATAGATTTGAACATTTCCATTATAAACAGTTAGAAAACAGAAAGGGGTGGATGTTAATAAATACTGTTTAGGTGGCAAATAGAAAATCAGGAAACCAAGGCTTAGGGAAACTGTCCTTGGCACTAGGAATATAGCAATAAACAAAACAGGTGGAAAATCTCGCCATTATGAAGATCACATTCTAGAGCATTTATTCAATAAACTAAATAATTGGGATGTAAAATATTTTCCTGCACCTGTGTGTTAACCTCGTTTCCCTCCCCCGCTTCCCTCCTCCAAGGGTACAAGATGCAGCTTTAGGAACACATAGCTGGTTCAGGGATTAAGGAAGTGCAGTGAAAATACAGGAGCGCCAAACAACGTATACGTATTTTAAGAGATCCTGTTGGAAATAAAATCAATCATTCCCCAAAAGTGTACAAATTGCAGGTAAACAGGATGTGCGTAGCTTGTCTAGGTACACTTGACCAGAAACGGCACCTTCAAACCCACTTTGAAAAGTAATACATAGATAACATCTTTCAAAATGCGTATCCATTTTTGGCACCTTCTGTATTATATGAAAGTAAAAAGTTCATAGATTGCGTATGTGAGCTCCTCCCACACCATGCTCTCAGGTATCCCCTAACCCAACTAGAAAGCAGAAATATAGTTTCCTCCTCCCAAATTTACTTCATGTCCTCTCTGTATCGCACAGAGAGAACCCAAGGCACACTGCGCCCCACTGGTTTGAACGTCAGTAGAGGCGCCACAACGTGCAAAATGGTTACAGAAGCTCCAGACTGGCTTTCTCTGCCTCCAAGGTGGCTGGGAAGACAGGGTTTCTTGCCCAAGATTGTAAACAAAGACTCCAATATGTGTCACTGGCCCTGACTGAGACATGTCCAGCCATTGTCATGGATGAATACAGAGCAGATTGATTTAGGATTAAGTCTCAAGTGACTTTCCCTGAGCTGAGGGGGGAGTCCTGCTCACAGACAGGGACTAATCATGTGTGAATGGCGGGAGTTGTTTTGACAGTGGAGGTGACAGGAGCTGATGATGAATTTTAAAGAAATAATAGAGGAATGATTTTCAATGGAAGAGCCACAGCTCAGAAGGAAGATTTGAAAATTTATGGGACTATTTCTGATTGTCAGATCATTAAAGGGGAACTACTGGAACTTGGTAGTCAGAGACGGGGTAGTCAGATACCCTGCCGTGCACAGAGCAGTCTGCAAGGGGAAGATATTCCTCTTCCTGCACAACTGTCCTAAGTCCCATCCCAAAGTGGGACTGGACGTGCTCTCTATAACAAGGTGGGGTTGCAAGGAGGACCTTTGTTTTCTATGCCCCTCCATCACCACACTGACCAATATCGTGCCCAAGAAAATACTAATTGGTCCCTGCACTTAAAAATAATAAGTAACGCTGCACTCATCTATGAGATAACCACACTTCCTCATTTTAGCTACTTGAACAGCCTTGGTCTGTTACCTGTTGCCCTGGTCTGCACAAAATACCATAGATTGTGTGGCTTAAACAACAGAAATTTATTTCTCACAGTTCTAGAGGCCAGAAACCCACGATCAAGGTGCTGGAGAGTTACATTTTATTCCAAGGTCTCTTTTCCTGGCCTGTGGTCCGCAGCTGTCTGGCCACTCCCAGGCGGTCTTCTTTGTGTGTGCTTGGGCTGGGGAGGAAGGAAGAACTCTCTGCTCTTCCTGTACGGACACTAAGCCTGCGGGATCTCAGCCCCAACCACACAACGCCATTTAGCTTCAACTGGCTTTCTATAGCTTCTGTCTCCAAAGGCAGTCACATTCGTGTTGAGGCTTCAGCGTATACATTTTGGTGGAGAAACATTCAGGTTGCAACATTTGACTCACGTGTTCTTCATTTATCCACTTCAGTTAAGAATATTTGCTTCGGGTTTGGCACCCATAGCTCAGAGGTTATGGCACCAGCCACATACACCGAGGCAGGCGGGTTTGAACTGGGCCCAGGCCTGCTAAACAATGACAGCTGCAACAAAAAAATAGCCAGGCCTTGGGGCCGGTGCCTGTAGTCCCAGCTACTTGGGAGGCTGAGGCAAGAGAATCAAGTAAGCCCAAGAGTTAGAGGTTTCTGTGAGCTGTGACGCCACGGCACTCTACCAAGGAGTAGACTCTATCTCAAAAAAAAAAAAAAAAGAATATTTGCTTTAGCCTCTTATTTTATACCCTGTGTGGGGGGCAGGGAGATTACACCCTTTGTCTAGGAAAACATTAAGGATCTATAAACAGATCTCAGGGCTTGTTCTAGAGAGTAAAGCGATAAGGATAGATCTTATTGCAAATGAAGATTTTTAACTTAGAACATGTGACATGAAGATCACAGCTGCAAGGGGGCTGTTTGGAACAACTCTGATTATCTGCAAACTACTTTCAACAAGACAACTTTTTGATCCAGTGTCCACTCAGCTCTCTGCTTTCCTTGTCCTGAACTCTCTATTCAGAATGACTTCTGATCTCATTTCTCTCAAATCCAAATATTAATAATTACCCAGAAGTAGATGCAAGCATCTCACTACTTCATCGGGGATTATATTAGCCATTTATTGCAGGATAACAAATTATCCTAAAATTCAGTGGTTTAAAACAATGACATTTTTTGACCCTGTTGTCGTTCACAAGAGTGATGACTGGGTTTTCATGCTCGTGTGACACGCACTCCCTGAAACCTTGTTACGGAGTCAGCATATCAGCCCTCCGATGTGTAAGAAAATAAGTCAAATGGTCACAGCAGCAACACTTACTATCTCCCGGTTTCTGTAGGTCAGGTCAGGGTCTCTGATAAGGCTGCCGTCAGGACATCAATCGGGGCTGCATTCTCATCGCAAGCTGCAGTGGGAAACAGATCCCCTTCTAAGCTCCCTCATGGGGTTGTGGCAGGATTCAGTTTCTTGCAGGCTTTTGGACTGAAGGCCTCGGTTCCCTGTGGGCAACCGGCCAGAGGCTGCATGTGGTTTGTTTCAACATGAGCCTCTCGATTTGGCGGCTCACTCATCAGACTAAGCAAGATGATCCAGAAAGACAGACAGACCGGCAAAGAGAACCACGATTCTTCATAATATAACCTGGGAAGTGACATGGCATCCCTGTTGCTGTATTCCAGTCATTAGAAGCAGCTACTAGGTTCAATACACACTAAGAAGGAAGGAATGACCCAAGGGGTCATTTAGCTGGAAGCCGTTTCAGAAGCCACTTATCTCATGTTCTAAGCGTTTACATATTAAAACATAGGACCCTATTACAAACTGCCTTCCTTTTATTTCTCAATTTTGTCATTGCTAAGGCATTTTATTAATACTTTCACTAGCTGTATAAGTAAGTTGTAGAGTCAACAATTTTTGTTTTCTTTTCTGAGACAGAGTCTCATTCTATTGTCCTGGGTAGAGTGCTATGAGATCACAGCTCACAGCAACCTCAAACTCTTGGTCTCAAGCGATCCGCTTGCTCAGCCTCCCAAGTAGCTGGAACTAGAGGCTCCTGCCACAATGCCCCACTAGTTTTTATTAGAGATGGGGGTCTTGTTCTTGCTAAGGTTGGTCTGGAACTCCTGAGCTCAAGTTATGCATCTGTCTCAGCCTCCCAGAGTGTTAGGATTACATGAGTGGTCCACTGCACTTGGCCTAATGAACTTTATTTTAGAAAAGAAAAAGAGGAATTACAAAATATTTGTTATGGACTCAGTGCCTGTAGCTGAGCAGCTAGGGCACCAGTCACATATACTAGAGCTGGGTTTGAACCCAGCCTGGGCCTACCAAACAATGATATCAACTACAACCAAAAAATAGCCAGGCGTTGTGGCAAGCTCCTATAGTCCCAGCTACTTGGGAGGCTGAAGCAAGAGAATTGCTTAAGCCCAAGAGTTTGAGGTTGCCATGAGCTGTGATACCATGGTATTCTACCGAGGGTGACATAATGAGACTGTTTCCAAAAAAAAAATTTTTTTATTATGAAACAGGGAGATGTTGGGTCTGATGGAACTGGGGAGCACTCTTCCAGATGAGGCACAGTTCTAATAGGAGATGCACCCGGGAGGGAGAGACTGACCAGGGGCCAGAGACAGGGAAGAGAAGCCCTTGAGAAGCCAGAGGAGACAGGAGCCAGAGCACCTCGCAGGGGCTGGATTCTCACAGGACAGAAAAATCTGTATCAGAGAACTCAGAACAAGTAGGATAATTATTTTCCAACAGCATAAAACCATCCTACGGAAGAGGAATTATACGTGTTCAATGTTGCCCCAAGTGGTAGAATTTAGAGCAAGGAATGGAAATTAGAAGGCGTGATGATACATAAATATGAAAGAAAAGCTTTTTACCAGTCACAAATTTTTACCATTGCAAGATAAATGGGTTTACCAAACCCGACTGCGTGACTGCACTGGGTCCACCTTTGCACGGCCTCTCCCCAGCAGAAAACAAGAACACAATGTGACCCCAGTGAATGGCCAGGAAGATTCCCTCCAGCCACGGGGATCTCCCACATCAGAAACTGGTTTTTGCTGAGACGCTGTTTTGTGACAACACTCGAGCTAGATTGTTTCTTGCATTCTTAAGAAGCTTTTTAGCTGGGAGAAGAGTTTTTTGTGTGTTTGGCTTGTGTCCTGCTTGTGCAGAAGCAGGAGTCAACATCTACTCAAAGTGAGGGATTCTGCTGGGAGAAGACACTAACAATACCACCTCCAGGCATGTGGACAAAGTCTACCAGCAGGCTCAATTTAATGATTCCTTCACTCAAAAACATTTATAGACTACCTTCCATGGGCCAGTGTTAATTATTGGAGACTGGGTTGTAGACTCATTATAATTTTAAGTGAAATTTTCCCATCTTAGTGAAATTGTGTTGCTAAGTAGGTCAGGGAGACAGAAAGACCTAAGCAGAACTTCTTAACTACCTCCAAAAATTTCAGACATGTGCTAGACTGGCATCTTGATAAAGGTTAATTATTATAAGGAATAAAGTTTAATATTTGACATAGATACGGAAGGGCTATCTCTGAGCATCTGGCGATGAGGCAAAGAGCGATTGTCCTAGGACGGGCTGTCTGGAAGTGGCGCCTGACCAGATATTTGCTTGAGTGACTACTGACAGTCCTCAGAGTGTGAGGGAAGCAGGGGAGGCAGGAGCACAGCTGAGAGAGAACTTGCCTGTCTTCAACCAGAAATGTGCTTCAAGCTGAACCCAGGCGGGTGCTCGTTGCCCCTGAGACAAGCAGGTGGCTGTCCACTCCCCATGTCCTTCAGTCACTGACCCTGATCCCATGTGGATTTAGCTACAAAATATCACTTAAGACGTTACTCAGAGTGGGTTTGTGATGAAGTAGGAAAGTGACCCTGTTGAGTGTGTTTGAGAGAATGACAGGGAGAAATTGCAGACCTCGGGGGTGGACAACTCTTCTGAGCAGTGATGCTGCGAGTGGAGCCCAGACGTGGGGCAGCAGGAGGGTGGGTCCGTGCAGTCCAGCAGGATTTTTCTAAATGGAAACAACTGGGCCACATTTCTATGTTAATACAGATAAATTGAGAGAACAGACAGAGATGATGCTGAGAACAAAGAGAAAAGAAGTAGAAGCCAGAGCAAGGTGGTGGGGGGGACTGAGCCCCCATGAGGACAACTCATCTCCAGCGACAGGAGAAGAGATGGAGCCCAAGGGGATCTATGTCCATACAGGAAGGGGCAGGTGTGGCGGGGGAGCACGGGAAAATCCTCTTCTGATTGCTTTTAGTTTTCCTCTGAACAGAAATCATGTCTAGGACCGGTAAATCAGGGTGTTAGGAGATTGAGAAAGCAGAAAAGATGGTGGTGGTTTGAGGAGAGAGAAGAAAGTGAGAGAGAAAATAAATGGAACAGGAAACTACAGGGTTACTGAACAATCTTACTTATTCAAATGCTTTTTAGTTGATGATTTGAGAGTCCCTAAATATACAGTTTGAAAATAATAACATGTCTTATTCGTTCTCTAACACCATACGCCGTTTACTTCTATTTCATTCTTCATATAGCAGCCAGAACTTCCAAAGTACAAATTTCTGTTGAACTTGGTCTCTTAAATGTCTCTCATTTTATCCACTCCTCTTGGTCTTGGCTACCAACAAGGTAGCACGAGCCAGCATTTCTTGCCTGGGCTTGACAATAGCTTCTTAATTAGTTTCCTGACATCTTGTTGCATTCTTTCATGTATTCTCTGACTTTTTCAGTACCCCCACCTAACTGTGTCACCATCACACCAACCCTACGCTGGTTTCCCACTGCTTTTTGACTAAAGGCCCTGAACAGTCTGTCCCTGTGTACGTCACCAGCCTCACCTCACGCCTCTGCTGGGGCAGCAGCCACACACACCTTCTTTCTCACCTTTCCCAGTTACCTGCGTACTCTTCCCTCTGAAATAGTCTTCCACCTTCCCAGCTTAGCTCCGTTAATGCCTCTTCACCATTCATTTTGTATAAAATATGAAAGACAAAGAAAGAAATGGAAAGTACAGTGAGAACATCCATAGATGTTCAACTGGTATTTTAGAAGTACAGAGAGAGAAGAGTGTAGAACAAGCAATACTATTTGAAGAGACACCAAGAATTTCCCACAAAGAACCACTACCTGCATTTAAGTACTTAAATTCCAACCAGGAGAAACTAAATAAATAAATAAATTCCAACCAGGATAAATAAAAAGAAATCTCTACCTAGACACACCATGTGAAGCTGAAGAACACCAATGATAGTAAGAAAACAGAATTTAGAAAAAAGAAACATTAGAATAGGCATTATCTTTTTCTTCCAGCTTCACTGAAGTATAAATACAAATTGCATATATTAACAGTATACATCATGATTTAGTTTTGACATTTGTATACATTGTGAAATGGTCAAAACATGAGCTTGTTAATATTGCCATCATCTCACATAGGTTTACGTGGGTGCGTTGAGAACATTTAAGATCCACACTCAGGAAATTTTAAGCATACAACTGGTATTAACTACAGTCACCATACAAATAGTATTAACTATAGTCATCAATCTGCACATTCTCCAGGACTTATCCATCCTGCTCTACTGAAACTTTGTACTCTCTGGTCAATATTTCTTTATTATCCCCATGCCCCAGCCCCAGGTAACCACCATTCCATTCTTTGCTTTTATGAGTTAGAATGTTTTAGATTCCACATATAATGAATCACGCAGGATTTGTCTCTCTACGCCTGGATTGTTTCACTTAATATGATGTTCTCCAGGTTCACCTATGTTGTCATACATGACAAGATTTCCTGCTTCTTTAAAGCTGAATAACATTCCAGTGAGTATGTACTATACTATATATTATACAGGCCACATTTCCCTTATCTACTCATCTGTCAGTGGACACTTCAGGTGATTCTATACCTTGACTATTGACATTAATGCCACAGTGAACATGGGATGCAGACACCTCTTTGACATACTAATTTCATTCCTTAGGAAATACACTCAGCAGTGGGATTGCTGAGTCATACAGCAGTTCTATTTTTAGTTTTTTAGAAACCTCCATACTGTTCTCCAGATGACCACACACTCTTAACTGGTAACAGCTGTGCCAATTTATATTTCTACCAGCAAGGTGCAAGGGTTCCCTTTTCTCCACATCCTCACCAACTTTTATTTTTTGTCTTTTTTATAATAGCCATTCTAACAGGTGTGAGGTGCTATCTCACTGTGATTTTGATCTGCATTTCTGTA